GAGTGCAGGCCCGGTTTGCCGGCGGCCGGCGCCGCAGCGCTGCCCCAAGGCTCGCCTGCGAGGGGCGACGAGGGCAGCTCGGGCGACGCCGTGGGGCTCTGAAAGGGCGAGCGGTCCGAGGTGGAGCGGGAGCGGGTAAAGTAGACGACCTTGGCCAGCGAACCGCCGACGTCGACGGCGATGTGCGAGACGGCCTCGATGTGGTTGGGCAGGTAGATGTCGCGGCTGTCTCGCTGGTCCGGGCTCGAGGCGCCGTCCTCCATGATCTTGGCCCCGCTGCGTGGGAGGGGAAAGCGAGGGTGTCGAGGGTCAGCGGGAGGGATGGGACGGAGGCAAGGCGGATGGGCCACAGGGGGAGAAGAGAGGAGAGACGCACCGGGTGTCGACAAAGATTTCTACCGGCGGTGCCGGAAAGGTCTGGAGGCTGTTCATCTTGGCAAGACGCGGCGGCGGCGGAGAGAGGGCCGCCGGTGCGGTGCAGCGGTATATTGAGGTCTATGCGGGCGGACGGGGTGCGATGCTGCGAGTGCCGAGGACCGAGACCGACTGCGAACGATGGTGCCGGTCGGATTGCAGACGGCGGGGTGGCCTTCGGATACGGCCTTGATGGACGAGCGCAGGTGCAGTATCCGAGCTGCGATTCCAGGGAGGGCAATGGCAGGGCGAGGGCGAGAGCAGCAGGCGGTGCGAGAGGGATTGGCCGCGGCGGATCGAGGCGGATATAAGGCTGCCCGGGGGGAGGGGTGCGCTGTTGCCTGTGGTCGCAGCGACGGCGATGACCAGTCGCTCGCCTCGAGGTCGAGCTTGAGGGAACCGCGGGCGAGCGAGGGGCCGTTGGGCAGCGATCCGGGTGACGAGGTTGATGCCGGTGGTGTTGACAGTGGTGGTGGTGGAGGTGGTGGTGGTGGTGGTGGTGGTGATGGCGGTGCGAGGAAGCAAGGAGCGGGCCCAGGGCGACACCGGAAGTAGGCCGACTGCTTGGCCCGGACGTCGACTGCACACCCAACCGAGCGGCAGGCGGGCCCATCCCTCTGCTGCGTCCCACCGAAACACACACACACACGCAGAGAGAGAGAGAGAGGGTCCGACCGGCCGGCCGGACAGAGAGCGAGCGAGCGGTGGGGCGCTAGCCTCTGCTCGGCCAAAAAAATCCACCATGCACGCATCCAAAGGCCAACCCAGCAACCCCCGCTCGTCGTTGGTTGGGCCGGCCGCCCTGCCGGACAAACGGACAAACCGGCCTCCCCAGGCGGCTTCGTCGACACACCCACCGGTGATTGGGCCACGCCCGCACGCCAGCGACCCCCCCAACCTTGTGCCGCAAGAAGCCCCGCCCCGCCGTGCCACGGCCCACACGAGCACGTCCACGGCCACGCCCCATCCTAGCCATGCGCATGGCCACCCTCATCCCGTCCATACCCACTGGATCGGTCGTTGGCACCCTCCCCCCGCCCGCACGCAAAAGAATCAATCAAAAAGTGATCTCTCCCAGGCTCGAACTGAGGACCTCCTCCGATGAACCAGTCGTACATCCACGCGGGACAAGGCTTGTTAAGGAGACGCGCTGACCAACTGCGCCAAGAAACCCGTCGATGTCGGCCGGCCGGACTATTGCTGTTATAGACCGTGTATTGCTCTTGACGACAGTGAAACCACCTCGAACGAGGCTGGAATCACGGCACAAAGACGGACGAAACAAGGATGAAGAAAGGAGGTGGTAGATTTCCGTGCCGCCATCATCCGCCTCAACCCGTTGAGAACCGACGACGACAACAAATAGTATCTACAAGAGGGGGGTGAAAAGGGGGTGGGCAGCGACCGAGTGCGCGCAGAGAGAAACAAAAGTTGAAGAGAAGCCAGAGCGGGCGGGGGAGGAAGGCTACGGCCCTCGATCGACCAGGAGAGGGCCGTGGACCTTCACCCGCATAGGCGACAGTGTGAAACGAAAGAGAGAGAGAGAGAGAGAGGAGGAGAGAGGAGGAGATCCGCCGCTAGCTACAGGTATGCTACAGCGGGGCAGGGACGGGTGGAGGGGGCCCGCGGGAAAAATTCCGGCTGGGGCGCGACGCGTCAGGGCTGACACCCGGCAGCCAGCTGAGCCCAATATTCGCCGCAGCATCGCCTCAACGCCTCTACTTGCAGGCGGCAAGGTTCTGGTACTTGCCCATGCTGTAACCGTCCTTGCCAAGCGCAAATCCGTTCAAGAGGCTAAACAGATAGTCGAGGTTGTTCTGTGCGTGGCAGTTTCCTTGCCAGCGGGCGGCAGTGGCCTTGGCCACGGTGAGGCCGGGCTGCCATCCGTTGTACTCTCCGATGGCCTGGAGGACGTTGCCACCGCAGCTGTCGATGCGGTCCCGGAAGTACTTGGCGCCGGCGTTGACGTTGAACGCGACATCCTTGCAGTTGCCGCCGGGAGCGCCGCCGCACTTGTCGGGGGTGATCTGCATCAGGCCCTGCTCGCCATTGCCACCAGTGACCGACGGGTTGCAGGTCGACTCCTGCATAGCGAACGACATGAGGATGGTGGCCGGGATGTTGTGCGCCTTGCCGGCCTGCTTGAAGGCCCAAACAATGGGCTTGCACGGCGCGAAGGTCTCACTGTTGACAGCCTGGTCGGCGTCGATGACCTTGAGCTGGTCAAGGGTGACGTGCGGGGGCTTCCAGCCGCCGGCATCGATGCCGCAGTTGAGCCAGTCCTGAGAACCGTTGGGGTACTTGTCGCTGGCGCCGCTGGAGCCACAGGTGCCGGTCATGCCAAACAGGCCCTTGCCAGAAGAGCTGCTGGACGACGACGACGACGACGAGGAAGACGAAGACGACGACGACGACGACTCGCTGTGGCTCTCGGACTCGGACTGGGACGACTCCTGGTGCTTGGACTCGGACGAGGTGGCGACGTTGGCCTTGCCGCCCTCGGCGGCCTTCTTTCCTGAACCGGCAGAAGAAGAGGCCTGCTGCGACGACGACGAGTCCTTGGACGAGTGCGACTCGCTCTGCTGCTGCTGCTGCTGCTGCTGCTCGCTCTGCGACTGCTGCTGCTGCTGCTGCTGGGACCACTCGTTGTTGGACTTGGCGTCCTTGTGCGCCTTGTGCTTGGTGGCGTGGGTGGCCTTGGCGGCGTGCTTGGTCTTGGCGCGGCACTTGCGCTTGTGCGCCTTGCCGTGGCGCTTGTCGAGCGTGCCCGACGACGCGTTCTGGCGGTGGTACTCTTCGACGATGGCGTTGCGGCGCTCCATCGAGAGCGGGTGGCGCGACAGGGCCGGCAGGTCACGCTCCGACAGCTCGGCGCTGGCAGACGACGCGGCGACGAGCGCCGTGGCGAGCAGGGCGAGGAACTTCATGATGCGCTGGATTGCAAATGGAGAGGGGAGATTGAGAGATCCGAGGCGGTGATGGACGATGCAGAGAGAGAGTGATGGCGTTGCCACGATGCTGGATCGACGGAGCAGGGAGGGTCGGGGTCGGGGATGGGGCGGGGCGTGGCGGGGTGGACCGAGAGGGAGAGACGGGTAGGAGAGAGGTCGGTTGGAGAGGTGAGAGAGGGACTTTGGTGGACCAGCCGTGCAAAGAAGCCTCGAGGACGATGTTTTGTATATAGGGCGGGGCGGAAGCGGAAGGGAGGTGGGGGTTGTGGTAGTGGTGAGAGGGACAGAAGGTGAAGGAGCGAGGAACGAGACGAGACGAGGACAGGACAACGGCAAGCAGACGGAGGGCAACAAAGCCAGGGCGTGGCGTCGGGTTGGCAGGGAGGAGGGGGACGGACACGCAGGACGGGGCGCCAAGACGTCGACTCGGCGGGCACAGGTGCCCAGGTGCCCAGGTGTCCAGGTGCCAGGCGGGACAGACACAAAGCGCTGGCGAGAGGCCCCACGCTGGCAGACGGTCGGGACCAAGGAGAGTGCAAGTACGGCAGCGCAGCAGCCTTAGGCCTGACGGGAGCCGACGACCCGTCAGACGAGACGAAACGCCCAACAAACGAGGAAAAGGGGCCACCAGCAGCAGCCTCTGCCCCCCGCCCCCGACCGCCCTTTGTCCGGCTCTCGTTTCGCCTCTTTGGCCTTCATCTGGCCCGCTCTCTGTCTCTTTCTCTGTTCATCTGCCTTGAGCTCTGGTCGTCGCAAATCCCGCGCCGCAGCAGCAGCTTCTTCAGGCAGGCGCGTGTGAGGCCAAGCATGAACCGAATCGGACGTACGCCCCTTCGTCGTCGTGCCAGGAGGTGCTCGTCTGCTCCCCCGTCTCTCTCGGCCCGCAGGCATGCACGCACGCGTATGGGACGTATGTACTGTATGCTCGCCCGCCGCGCTGCGCCAAGCCATGCCCTGCCTCCTCGATCGTTCTCGGCAGGCATGTCCAAGTGCTTGCCTTCTTGGCCGCCGAGACGGCGCGGCGCAGCTGGGCGTTGCTCGCTGCCGCCGTCGACCTCCATACCGTGCCATACCGACATGTCGGGAGCGTTCCTCTCGTTCCTTGATCGCCCACGCGTGCACAAACACACACGCACACACAAGCGCGTACGGTGCGCTCTTGGTGCTCGTCGATCGCCTTTGTCGTCGTCGTCGTCGTCGTCGTCGTCGACATTCTTCGCGTGCTTTTGTGCGCAGCAGATGTAGGACAGGCGCTCGGGCCTGTCAGGTCAGGTACGCCGGGGCTTGGGGCCACGCCGCGCTGCGCTGCGTCGGGGCGGAAAGCCTGTTTTGCAACGCCGCCGCCGCCGCCGCCGCCGCCTGGTTGCACAGCGCGGTGATCGGGACGATGTATGGCCGGACGGACCGGCACCAACGCCGGCGCTGGGCCCGTAGTGTACGACCCACTCGCCACACGGCGGCCCGAGCGCAAGGCGGCCATGGCCGTCCGCGCTTCCATGACACTACCGGTACGTACGGTAGCATGACCATGTAGCCCGTGCCGCTGCAGGCAGCCTAGAACGCGGTGGGCGGGATCATAACCTCATGGGGCCAAGCAAGAGAAGCCTTCTCCAGAGCGACGTTGGTACGATGCGATGCGACACTTTTGTGCCGCAGCCGTGGCTAGCACATGCAGCCAGCACCAAAGTCACACACACTCGCGCTAGCCTTGGTCTCGGTCCGTGACGGCACCAATTCATGATTGCGGAGCCGGCTGGTCAGCGGGCCTCAGCTTGCCTGGTGACGGCAAGGTGGCGCAGCGTGTCAGGACGTTTGTGTAGGTGTGACTTTTGAGACTTCGGAGGTCGCTGCGGTTTCGGGATGAGAGCACACGTACGGATCTCGCTCGCTGACCTCGCGACGGGGGGTTGGCACAAGAAGAGCACACTCGGAAGCGCTCTTGGAGCCTTAGCGGCATCGCTTCTGCACCATGCACCACCTCGCGCGGCGCTAGCCCGGCCTAGCCTACCTGCTGCTGGTTGGTTCACCGGCAGGCACAGCCCGTCGTCCCTTTCATCTTGGTGGCGGAACCAGCCCTCGCGCGGCTCGTGCGCGAAGATCTTCCAAGGCGACGGCACAGCCGCACGAGGCACAGCTATGTAATTGGGCTGCTGCGGCCGAACTGAGCTGCGGAATCCAGGTCGCGGTCACCGCAGAGGAACGAAGTCGACTCTCCCCTCCATCCAGCGGTCGTCTGGTCGTCAGCCGCTGTCCAGTGAGCGCCCGAGAGCCAGAAGAAGAGGCCAAACGACGCCATCGATTCTTATGGGCAAGAAGCTGGAAGGCGAGGTTGCCGAAGGTTCTCGTCGGTCAGCGTTAGTGATAAAGAGGCGATCGCAAACTGCGCGGTGGTGCAGAGACGCAGTGAACATCAATCGCGAGATGCACTAGGTACATGTACCGAGCAGGGTAGCGCCGGCATCGACGTCGTCGTCTTCACCAAATGAACGGAGCGCCAGACGCCTTGGGGACGACGCAATGAGGGTGGCGCGGAGGGACGTTGTTGCAGGCCAGAGTTCGAGAGTGGCCCATGCGCGAGTCGACGCTCGGAGCCGCATCGCCGAGGTCCTCCTTCTGTGACCCGACCGGGCCCAGACGCTCTCGGGGGGAACTCGACTGCTGAGCGGCGCTTGTCCTCGCTTCCATCGCTTCGCCCTTCGACCACCACCATCATTGCCAGAGTCGCGGCCTTCGGTACCTCCAGCAGCCAGCAGGAGGCCCAGCGGCATCTGTCAATGTCAGGCGAGTGTCGGAGCTGTTCCTTGTCATGAGTCGTGCTGATGCCCCCGATACTTCGATGACGGCCCCGTGCCATCGTGTAGCGCTGCCAGTGTACGGCCGTCTCTTCGGTCCTCACGGGCGCCCATTACAACTTGAGAGATCATGGGACGGCGCTAGCAGGCAACTCGAGGATGCAGCGAAGGACAGAACGCCGCCTGCTTTCGATCTGCCCGCGATACACTCGATCCATGTCGGGATGATGGTTGCAAGCCCCTACTCCGTGAAGCTCGCCGCCGGCCAGGCTCTATAGCGTGGCACGGCGAGAGGGTCGTATTCCGCCATTCTGAACGCCGATAAAGTGGCGATCCCGACAGGATCCAAGCGATCAGGCCGCAGGAGTTGTTGCGTGGCATCCCCCATTCCCATGTTCTCGTGGTCGCTCCGGCTGTCTGGCAGACTCGCCATCGCCAGCACAGCTGTTTCGCCCACCACTTGCTTCCTGCTCTGGGTCTTAATCGACGCGATCCCTTGACTTCAGCCCAGACGACGACATGAATGGCTCTTTCGACACTGCTGCCACCGACCCGTGACTTTCCGCGACGATACCTGCGCCTCAGCCCGACGGCTCTTCCCGGCCACCGCTCTCGCCCTTTTCCCATTGTAAGGTACGCACTTGGCTCGCCGGGCTCGCTGGACGCAATCAGATCACCGTAACGAGCATCGTCGTTGTAGAACTGGGCCCAACAAGAAACGCAAGAGCAAGCCAAACGGCGATGTTTCCCAACCACGGCGACAGTCTATGCTCCCTTGTGGCAATTCGAAGCGCCAGAATGTGCCAGGAGCGCTCAAGGATCGTGATAGCAGGGCGTTCTGCGGCGCGAGTGCGTCGGTCTGGCCGGGTAGCGCCGAGGTGAGGGCAAGGCGCAACGAGCGGTCGACTGGGCAGACAAGCAAGGGCCTTTGCCGCATCGAGGAGGCGCACCATCCCAGCCTGCGAGGCCCTCGACGTCATCAACATACGCCCCCGCACCGACACAGCGGGACCGTCCAGGGTGTCCGACGAGACGATCCAGCTCTGCTCCGAGGTCCTGAGCGGTGAGCGGCGCATCCTGTACAGCTACAAAGAAGATTGCGAGGGTGAGGGTGCGGGCGCGGACGAGGACGAGGACGAAGACGAAGACAACTAGTTAGGCACAGCAGCCTTGCTCACCAGCCGCAAGGATGCCCAACACCGGTCCTTTGCCCTGGCTTCTCCTCCGACCCTGCGCGCCTTGTGGTACGCCGATTCAGCCCCGCTCTCTGCTTCTGATCCCACAACAGCCCATGCGGTGATCCAATCGGTCGTCGATGTGCTCCCCGGCCCATGCCTACCAAGGCCCCCGGCCTCCTGATGTGCCCGTGCACCGTCAAGCCAAGACCGTCGCGCGATCCATGTTTCGATCCAATCTCGTCCTGATCTCGCGGACCTCTGTCTACCTCGCGGCCGACTTGTATCCATGTCTCTCAATGGTCATGGTCGCACCTTGCCAAACGGCCGAGCTGCTACCTCGACGAGCCCACTGCCGCCCGCGACTGAACCCGAAGATGTCGCCTCGACTGTGTTCGCCACGTTTCAGAGTGTCCAAGGACCGTGAAGCTCTGGTCTCGTCCGAGCGGCCTTGCTCTCTGCTAGCAGGAATGCCCGCCAAGGCAAGGCACTCACCCTCGCCTCGCCGCTGTCCAGTGTGCGACTGACGCTCTTGTCCTCGTGCCGAAGATGGCCTGCTGGCGCCATCGCCAATCTTGACTGACGGGTACAGAGCAAGAATGTCGCAAGAGCAATGCTGAGATGCCCAGGCTGTTTGCATGCTCGCCGCTGGCTGAACATGAGCCTCTTTGCAGCCAATTTTACGCTGAATTCCGTTTGCTCCCTTGTAGCACAACAGGGTGCTGAGAGGGCCAATGGTGGAGAGGGCCGACAGCACAAGAAAACAAAGATGGCTGAACAACTGTTGCTGTCAGGCTGCAGCACCTTGACACAGACTGATGCAGAAGAGGTGTGCCTACAGAAGGTCAAATGCTCAAGCCTCAGCTTGACCTGACATGATTGCAGGTTGCGGCATCTTGGGATTGAGGGGCGAGAGGGGGATCAGGGTATCTACCTACTACTGATGGGGCCGCATCGCGAGCAGCTTCTCTACATACACTGACTGCGTGCCTGTCTACCCACGCATGGCGAGGTGGCCGGGCTGCCCGAGCGCATTGTACTCGAGGTGGACATAGGCGCGCTCGACGCCCTCGACGCTCTCGATGCAGTAGGTGACAATCTCTCCGAGGTCGTGGGCCTCCTTGAGCGAGATCGACTGCGGGAGTACGACGTCGGCCTCGGCGATGTAGTCGTCTCCGGCGTGGAAGAGGTCAAAGGCCGAGACGCTGCGGACCGAGTTGAAGCGGGTGACGAGGTAGATGCACTTGCTCACCTGCTCGGGCGGGGCGACTGCGCCGCTGAGCTTCTGCAGCGTCTCGAAGAGGGTGTGGAGCCACTCGTAGATGATGTAGAGCGAGAGGACGATTCCGCCGAGCGGGTCGAGGGCGGGGAATCCGAGGTGGGCGCCGATGATGGGGAAGGTGAGCGAGAGGAGGTTGAAGACGACGTCGTTTTCGGCATCCTGGGCGACGGCGCGGACGCCCGACGACTTGGAGGTGCGGTAGAGCAGCCACATGGCCGTCTTGATGCCGATGGTGGCGAGCATAAAGGCGATGCCGACGAGGGGCAGCGCGGTGGCGGCGTCCGGGTCGGTCTGGCCCGTGGCGAGGACGGTGCGCAGGCGCTGGGCCGACTCGATGAGGACCTGGCAGAACGAGGCAACCATGAGGACGGAAAAGATGACGACGCCCAGCGGCTCGAGGCGCTTCTTGCCGACGGGGTACTTGTAAAAGGTGCGCCAGCTGCGGTAGGCGATGGCCTTGGACGTGGCAAAGATGATGACGGTGCTGAGCAGGTCGAGGGCGCTGTCGACAAACGAGGCGATGAGCGAGACCGAGTTGGACGAGACGACGGCGACGCCCTTGCCGCCGAGGAGCAGCACGTTGACGAGCAGGTTGATGTTGATGGCGAACTGGACCGCGCGCGACGCCTCCTCCTCCTTGTCGCGGTTCGGCACCGAGTCGAGCAGCGCCTGCCGCTCGGCGCTGTGCGTCGAAAAGGGGCGGTTGGGGCGCGACGACGCCGCCGAGGCCGGGTCCAGGCCGGTGCCCGCGGTGGCGCGAGGGCCGTGGGCGACGGCGTGCTCGGGGATGTTT